GCAGTCCTGTGCCACGTGCTCTAGGTGACCCTGCGTGTGCAGGGGGGTTGGACTAGATGATGTCTAGAGGTCCCTTCCAACCTTAAGCATTCTATGATTCTGTGATTCTATGATATATGTTTTCTTCCATTATGTTTGCAATTATTTGTTGCTTATGTGACATGAGCAATCCACCCTGAATTTCTATCTTGGTTGGAAGATTGGAAAACATTTCACCTCCAGCATTTCTCATAACAGATAGTTATTGGTTTGTGTGCTTAATTTATTACAGTAAAAAGAGAAAAATGTATTTCGGCATCCTTAATTATTTACCTTCTTTAGCCCTATTGTCTATATCTGACTGTATCTTGAAAGATGTGTTCTCACTGCACCCTGTTTTTTGTAATGAAGTTTTATGGCTAGTTAAATGTGACCTAAAGCATGAACCACCAACTTCTACTTCAGATCCTACAAAAAAGAATGATAGTGGTTCACAATAAAACAGTTCTTTTTTAGCTCTCAAAGTTAAATCTAGTTATTACATTAATTTAAATGAATGCAAGTCATGTGTAGGTGAGCGGAAAGTTAATCCTCTCTCATGACATGGCCATCATGATTACTAGGAATGAAATATTTGAGTTTGTTTTTTATTTGTGTTGATATTTTATTTAAACTGCTATTTTGGTGTTCAGATTCTTAAAGACTAATTGTATGGCTGACTGCTAATTATTCTGCATCTTTAAAACGGGATGCCATTTCCACAAGAAAAGAAGACTACAAGACAGCAGTTTAGTGAGCTTTCAGAAACACATAGAATCATATGGATCACTTGTATAATGCTTTTTCATCTTGTACTCAGAGGGACTAAGTAGGCAACACAGTAGCACTTGCTTGCTCTAATGAATGCTATTATTACTATAAATCATTTCAAATAATAATACTACCTTGAAATAAGATGTTCTTGTCTATTATATGTAGGGTTGTAAATGTAACGAAATGATACAGCCAGCAAACTCTGGCCTAAATATCTGGCAACACCAGTGGAACATACGTCATAGTTCAAAAAAGAGATGCAGAGGAGCTTTTGTGCTCCCTCACAAATGGCCAGATGTCATTATGCATCAGACCAGCTTCCTCTCTGAAGCTGACTCCTCTAAATGACATGAGCTGTCACGTAGCTGAAGCTCCCCCTTTTTAAAGGTGTTCCCTCAGCAAAATATTGATTCTTCAATCAGACAAAAATCTTGTGCAAGGAAACTATGCATAGCTTAAGTGATTCTTAAAACCAATTTGCCAGCCACCTATCACAACATGAAGAAACAGAGGCCAAGAACTGTAAAATTTTGGGTAATCGCCATCTGTGATAATGTAATTGATTTGCAAGATAAGCAGCTCCAAATTCAGTTATGTCAATATATGTCAAAACTATACTGCAAGTGCATTAATATGCAGATAGAATTTTAGGGAGGAAGAACAGATTGGTGGTAACCTGTCAGAAAAGACAGGCTCAATTGTTTGCTAAATACGGATTCCCTATGTTCCTGGTTTTTTCCTCCTTAGTTTTTTCCTTGAACAGTACATTTGTGGGGACAGCAGTATCTCTTTTTCTTCTTTTTTTTTCTTACTTCGGAGGGGTGTTTGATACCCTTAAAAAATATTAACACTGTTTGTATAAATATCCCTGTTAGACTCATTTTTTAGGTATTAACCGAATTAGTTTTTCCACGAGGAATTATGTATACTATAGAATATTTTAGCATAAAGATGCTCCATTTTTAGCATGTTTGCAGTACTTTGGTTGTAGGATAATTTTATCTTCTTGCCCTTATTTCCATAGGCATAATTTTTACAAACAATGCATCTGGTCCCTCTGTAATTCATCCCCATGCACTGCATTTTCATAAAGCATTTTATGAACTCAGAGTCAAATAGTTTGAGAAGGCCGTCTGCTTTCATTTGCATCATTCTCCATGTTCTCTCTGCTGTGAGGTACATTATGTTTAGCAGCTACTTAAATAATAATCCCAAGACCAAATTGTCTCTGTCACTTTAAAGGAGGCTAAGGACTCTTTTTATTATGAAACATTCAATCTGTTGCAATACAGGATACATATACAGGCAAATATACACAATGTGGGATGATGACCGTGCGTTATTGTTCATTCAAGGTTTTGGGGGGTTATCTTCATACTTCACAACCTTCATGGGCAAAATAAGTGCATCATAGTAATGAAATAATCAATACCTCTGAGTCAATGTGTAAAGAATGGAGTATTACCTAAGACAATATAAATCAAAGATGCAATGTAGGTATACAGTGTTGAAAGAGAGAATTAAGAATATGCCCAGTAGGAAGCCAGCAAACATAAATTGTGCTGTAAAAGCTAACAAATAAAGTAAATAGAAAATTTATGCAAAGCATTGCAGAGGACAGCAGACTAAATAAAAATTCTGTATTACAGTAATTTTGAAAATAAAAACAAAGTGCTCACTGCTGTTAAAATCAACTAAAAGTCATCTATGGGGCTGAAAAAAATAGTTTCTTCAAATGAGGGCTTAAGATAAAACTGTCTCTGAGAAGGGCTATGCCTCTTAATTATTGATGTGAGACTTATTCACAGCAATCTACATCTTCATGACATCCGGAGTGGATTAATACTTCTCATTGTACTGCCTAATGCACATGCAGAGACTAGAAAGAACGTCAAATGATTTACATTAGAGCTGTCTATTTTATTGATATGAGGCACAAAGGCAACAACCAACCCCCCAGCCTGCCGCTCCACAGGGTCACTCCACAGGGAACAAAGAAACCAAATGCCGTTCCGCAGTGCAGGTTTGAACTACCCGGAGACCTTTCTCAGCAGCTGGCCCAAGAGTTCTACGTTGGAAGAGATGTTCATAGCAGCAGCAGAACTAGAAGCTGTATTCACCACGGGATTTAGAAATGGAAATTCATCTGCAGGTCCTTACATCCAGCTCTTAAGCACCACCAGCATTTTTAGCATCTGGAACTAACGCTAGATCCCACAAGATTCCCCTGTAACACTGTGCATGATCTCCTTTAGGTTTCTGCTGTAAAACTAATCTCAACTTTGTCAGTACCTCTGCAAGAAGCTTATTAAGGATGCAATCACCATATTAAGCTTGGCTTAGCACTAACCAGCAAGAAAAAAATCATGTTGAGAAAAGCCTGATTTGGAAGCAAACCTTGTCAAAAACAGGGGTGTAATGAGAGCAGTTGATCCACACCACATCCATGCCACCTTGCCAGATTTCCCCAACAGAAACCACCTGTTTTCACCAAATGCCTGCAATGCAGGTGCTCTGCCTTACCACCCTTCATGACAAAGGAGCCCCAAATCACACATTTCCCCCACCCCACTCCTCTCATTTCCAGAGCTGGGCCTAGGCAAGAGGGTTTGCAGCACTAGCAAAGTGCTCCAGACCGTTAGGGAGGGACACTGTGGACAACAAAAACATGGTCCCCCCATGACTCTCCCCCAGCTACGGCACCATCCTCCCTCCCTGGCCTATTGCAAGTCTGATGCTGGAAAAAAAAAAGAAAGGAAAAAAAAAGTAAAAAAAAGTTTTTAAAAAGCGTTATTAAAAACAGATTATTAAAAGCCGGCCAGCCCCAACACATCCTCACACCTAGCTGAGAAGACATGTCTGTAGCACAGAGGCAAGGCCACCCCCTACATAAGCTCCACTGGCCACACCACCCTGGCGGCGGCCACCCCACTGTGACACAGCGCTGAGGTGGCCATGAGGTGTCCCCAGGGCGGGGGCAGGTGGGCTCCGGAGGCGCCCCGCGGCCTTGCGCCCGGTAGGGGACGGCGCCAGGCAACACCCAGGCCGGCAATGGCCACAGGACCCCGGCGGTGCTGTGGCCCCTCGGGGGTCTCCCCCTGCTCGTCCTCCTTCTCTCTGGATCAGCTGCAGAGCACCGGCCACCGGGCTGGGAAGATGGAGGCTGAGGCTGGGGCTTGGCCCGAGCCCTGCGAGAGCGGCACCAGCCTGCCGGACCGGGACAGGGATGTGGGGAAGGGATTCAGCGGTGAGGATGAAGAGGTGCAGGAGGGAAATCTCTACCCTGACGGCCACTATCAGCGGAGACCAAGAAGCAGAGCATCCCCCCAGAGGCTCCGCGGTCTTGGTGACGAGAAGCACGATTTCATGCCGGAAAAAGGGGAGACAGTGAGCGCCCTGACGCTGTGCCACTGCCATGAGGAGCAGGACGCAAAGGGGCGGCAGCTACCGACCTCCGAAGTTTGGGATGAGGTGAAAAGGCAGGATAAGAAGCTCAGGTCCAGGCTGGAGGAGAAGCGAGAGCTGATGGTGGAAAACCTGAAGAGATGGCAGAGAGACCAGGATCAAAGGAAGGCCAGATGCCGTCTGGATGAGGAACGGCTCTTGGAGGCCCGGCAGAAAGAAATGATGTTGCGAGAGAACAAATGGAAGAGACTGGCGCAGGAGGAGGAAACCAAGCGTAAGGCAAAGCTTGAAAGATCGAAGCTGCAAGCTGAGCACAGGAAACACTGTCAAGAAAAGCAGCTAAGAGAGAAGCAGATCATGGAGCAGGGTACTAGGGACATGAACTACAGCGCGCTTAGAGATAAAATGTCACGGGCTTGTGAGAAAAGGCTTTCAAGGGAAACTGAAGGGAAGAAGAAGAGACAAGAGCTGAACCAATATGAAATGACAAGACACAGGCGCCTGAAAGATCAAGTTGATCACCAGGCCAAAGCTGGTGAGCTTTGCAAGAGACATGCAATAGAACAGAAGCTCCAGAGATCCAAAGAAATCCTTGATCACCTGATGGAGGAAAGGAATAGGGAATCAAAGGAAAAAGCTCTAAAAGAAGAAAAACGAAGTTTCATGGCCAAATTTAGAGCAAAAGAGACAGAAGAAGAGAAGCAAAGACGTAAAAATATGTTGCTGCAAATAGCTGAGATGAAAATTCAGCAAGCCCAAGAAATGCTGGCCAAAACTATGCAGCAGAGAGCACAACGCAGCAAGGAAATTAACTACCAAAGACAAAAAAACAACCACTCTCAAAGGCAAAAAATTGAAGGTGATGAAAAATGTCGACTACAGGAAATAGAAGAGGCCATCAGAAGACGAGATCAGAAGAGTGATCAAATACTAAGAGATAAGGAATCTGCTTCAGGAAAAGCTAGAAAAATATGCAAAACATCTTATGGCCTGGGACAAAAAATGAGAGAGCTGATGAATAGTCGCGCATATGACTAGGTGGCTTTAGATGCCTATTATAGTGCAGGTATTCTTAAGACTTTAAAGAAAGATTGCAACCATTTTTTTGTGCCAAAAGAATGATTTGTAATTTATTCAGCCTGTGATTTGGCAAGAGCTCTGGATAGTATTACACTAAAATTGTTTCGCCTTACATTTGCTGCATCTCATAAATGCACTGATCACTTTTGTCAGCACCCTGAGGGCACAAGTAGGTATTAATGGCCCTGGCCTAGCACACTTGGGGCCCCATCCGCCTTCCCTGCTCAACCTATTTTAGCTCCAACCTGTTTCCTGGGCCGGTTACCCGTTGAGCTGCAATCGTCACAACTGTTCTAGTTATTACTACCTGTAGCTGAAACGTACTTGAACTTCACCTGGGATTTTTTAGTTGAATTTACACCTATCTGTGACAATCTAAAGCAACCCACTCGTCCACTCGTTGGAGTCTGAGTGTTGAAATTTTATGATGAAGTTGTGGCACCAGACATTTATTCAAATGAATTAAAATAGATGGTCCTTTTGCCTGTTTAAATTCATATGCACTGCTTTGGCTCTGTATGAGGTTCTCAGCTAGAACAAGACATTTATTTCCAACAAAATAAGCTGAATGCTGAGAGAGCGAGGATTGACAGTGATGTAGCTCAAAGACCAACAGTGATGCAGTTGGACATGCCTAGCTGCTGTTCAGGGTTTGATCATTCTCTTATCTGTGCTATCAATAATTTGTTTTAGATCAGTTTGGTAGACACTTTTAATTTTTTTCAAAAACATATTTTTGAGGTTTACTGTGAAACTGCTGTATTATACAACGTCCATAACTTTTATGGAATCCTCTGCTTCAAGACCCATTCTTCCATATGTGATATTGTAGAAGGAAGTTATGCTAATTTTATGTAATTTCTTTCTGATGAAACAGTGATTTATTTGAGTTATGAGTTTCTGGGTGCCTACAATTAGTTTCTAACACTTACATTATTTTTCCTGTTAACTAAGTTTAGCAGATTGTAATTTATATTCCTCCCTTTTCCTGTCTCTCAAAGGTAGGTGCTACAGTATCTTTTCCAGTTTTTTGAAATATCATTTATCCTTGGGGTGTTCTGCCAGTAACAGCTCTGCAGTTATTTCAGTTAATTTCACTACAGGCTGAAGATGACCCAACTTGCGTAAAATTATCTGAATAGTCTCCAAATGGCTCTTTTTAGCTCTTGCCCAGACATACGCTGTTTCCTCTTCTCCAGATTTTTCAAGCACTGCACTGATATAGATACAGCTTTACTTAAAAAAGCCCAGTTTTGAAGGATTTGAAGTCGCCAATCCCTGTAAATAATTACCTCAATAAAATCAACACTTGTCAGACTTTTGCTCCCAAATTTGTATTTAAACAGCTGAACATGAAAGGAGAAAAACCTAGTAAGATGCTGTAAATCTAAATTAAAAAAAAAAACTTGGAAAAGACTGTTTATGGATCTGTTTAATAAGGCAAGAATAAGATTTTTAATTTAAAGGAGTCCAGACAAGAAAGAAATTAAATGGAATCAATGATATAAAACATATCAAACATCTTGAATTAAAAGCTGATTATGTAATTTAGGACTTCTAGAAACTGACTGTGTATTATTTGATTTTTATATCAGACTATTTTAAGCAATTTGTAGCCTGATGTTGTGTTTAAGAATAAATCCTTTTTACAGAAACCTTGAAAGAAAAACACTGAAACTGTACTTCACTATTTTGTATAATTTTCATATGAAATTTGATTTATAAATCATAATGAAAGATAATAATTAAATATATACGATGAAAATAAATTTAAAATATATTTAATGAAATTGTACTAAATAACCTGAGGTAGTCTGTAAATTCCGAAGTTGATTGTTTACACATAAAACAAATAGATATTTCCTCACAAGTAAGTCTCGCCCCTCATTAATTTTTGCTACCACAAAGAGAATGAATGTCATACAGATATACTCAGTTTTTACCTTAGTTATGTAAGCATATGCTAGCAAGCCAAGATTACCATACTACAAAAATGTCCTCAAGTTCTTTCTCAAACTAAAATAATTAGACATCCCCCCAAAACTAAAAAAACACAATTACATTTAATCTAACATATAGCTAGTTAGGATGGCATCTGAAAGGAAACTTGGCCTTGTAGTACTGTTGGATTAGAAATGGATTAGATCACTCACTACAATGACATTTTCTTATTGTATAATTTATGGGTTTCAGTAAATTGTTATATTTTGCAGTGTATTTGATTTTCATTTATAAAAGTTGAATTACTATAACGTTCATGGTATGCTACATATAAAAGCCAAGTAATGTCTGTGGTGTAGAATTTTGAACAATTAAGAAAAAATGCTTGTGAGGAGGAAAGTTGGTGCATTTCACTGAGAAAAATACACTCCAGGACATTCTGAGGGTTTACACACTGTCCTATTTGTTTTAAAATGATTTGAATCCGTATTTATGCTGTTGAATATGCTCTTAGTCAATAAACTAGGATGAGTAGCGACATCATCCAGAAAAATAAAATAGTTTTATTTTCTAAAAAATAAAGGAAGGGTGAAACATAGTTGGTGGTATTAATGTCCATAACTTTATGAGGTCCAACCAAGGGCAGCTGAGCATCTCCAAAGAACTGGTAGCTTCAACTGATGTCAGCTACCCAAATAACAGATGATGAAGACAGGATAGACCAAATTTGAGAACAAACCTTGACTTGAGCCCTCAGCCTGCTGAAAGTGGATTTTCCCAAGCAGGTAGGTAGTTCAAAAATAATGTGTCTTTTCTAGAAGGGAAAAAAATATTTTATATGAGCAAGACAGAGAAATTTAGCAGCAAGAGCTTGAAAGCAAGAGAAAGCAAAAATTAAAGCAAAAATTCTCTCTCCATTTCACCCATGTCTGTTTCTAACTGCCCCTTGTAGATTCTTTTCTCAGCTATTATTTCAATTGTTCTGCATCCCACAGATCTGAAAACCATCATATGACAAAATCCATTCAGGTGTCTTTATTTTAGATGAAGCTGTTTTCATTTCAGCTCTCTAATTCTTTACAGAAGCTTAATCATTAATTCTTCCCTTTATCCCCCACAAAGAGCTATTGTTAAATCCAGAAGTTTTTAATGTTTGACCAACCACACAACATCTAGGTTTTGAAGTCTTGACAATGTTGATGTGAACAATATACACATACATTGCCATATACAACCTCCTGTCCTAACCTTTTTCTTCAGCAAAAGGCACATAAAGGTAAATTATCTCAGTCGTTGCAGATAAGAAACAGAAAAATAATAGCACTCATTTTCGTTTAGTTTTTCAACTTCACAGTGGTCTGATGGTAAAAAAAAAATAATTGTTTCAAGATGGTCACTAGGGCACAGCACTCCTGGATGATGTGGGTGCTGAGGGAAAGCACGGCAAGTACAGCAGATAGTGTGCCTGGAAAATTCTTTCAATGACAGAATATAATAAAATACACAACAAATAATAGTATAGATTGATTCTTAGCAAAACCTGGAAACATGGTATTACATGCCTTTCAAGATGTGCTGCTTGAAATAGTGTTTTCTTTGTTCTGTAACAATGTGTTTCCCTTATTAGCCTAGTCCCAGAACATAATACATTTTGCAGTTTTGAACTGCTCTAGACAGACATCAGTGTCGATGCCTGTGATGATGCCTGCACTGCTAGTGGATATCTTGAAGTCTTGATCTTAAATTGAACTCAAGACAGATTCCCCACTCAACACAGATTCTCCGTAAGGATGATCCCTGTATAGTCAAGACCAAAATCCAAATTAGCTACTGTTTTGGATTTGCAGACAAATACAGCAAATCTTAACTCAGTCTTGGCACAGTCCATCTGAATACTTGGAAAAGGAACATTTTCAAATCACCATTTGGAATCCATCACTTCCAGTAGTCAACAAACTGGAGCTATCTGTGTTTGTTGTTGTTGTTGCTGCTTTTTACTGTGATATGTAACATTTACAAAGCATATTTTAAAGATACAAAATAAAATGCACATGGGATTTGGGAGCAATGTTTATAATAGATTTGGATAAGCTCAGCTTTTAGGATTATTTTCTGCTTCTTTTTAAAAAGACTGGATTATCTGAAGGATGAAGAAATCTTTGACCTATATATTCTAGTTACTGTCTTGCTTTCCTTCATTTACTTGTCTTTACAGCTCATTAAGACAGGTTAACCCATATAAATGTCTTGTGGGATATAAGATCCAATTTTAGTCAGCGAAGAAAATACTCGTGGACTAAAGGAAGGCAGATGGGCAGATTCTTATTTTAGCACATGTTGTGTGGCAGAAAGAAAACAGTGGAAAGCAGGACTTAAATTTCTCTCTGCACCAGAGGATTACAACCATAGAATTATCCCAGAAAATAATAAGGGAACAAGAAAGAAAATCAATCAAACAAAATTTTTTTGCTGCTTATGGTCATACTTCTCAGATCACCAGGGGTTAAATTGTTCACAAAGGTATGTATTTAGTATATTATTAAGGAGAAAGGAAAGACCAGAATTTAACAGCTTAATTTACCAGTGAATTCTGCCTTGTGAAAGGATGTGACAGGCAGATGGGAAAATTTGGAACACATGGGGAAACTGATACATTTTTTTAAACCAGGAAGTCTCTCTCCTTTATTTAGGGTACATGGTTCTCCAGAAATGAGATTAACACAATTTAAATAAATCTTACTGATGCCCTTATGTCAGGGACTCAAAGCAAATTCAGACAATCTCTCTCAAAAGTCTGAGAAAACCTGAATCTCTTGTACCCTGGATCTCTTGACCTTGTGTGGGACTGGTGTGTCCTCCTGCTCCAACAGGCTATGGAGATAGATGCTTCCATGGCTGTCACATCAGTGCAGCTATCTTGAAGTACTGATGAGGTAAGTCTCCTGAATCTTCAAATACAATAGATCATTTCATTTTTCTACATGTTGTCACCAGCACTCTTAAAAATATCGCTGTAT